ATTGATGATAAAAAACATACCTAATGTAGACAAAAGGGTAATTATAGAAAGCTATTTTATTATTTCATGAAACGACAGTCATGAATCAACTGTTCAAACTTGAATTAGTTTTAGTCATCCTATACTAAAGGTAGGTATTATTCTACTTGTACATGTATTATTGATGGGAACAGTACATTGAATATTAAGTACACACATCAGCGTTATCGTGAATATTTACATACCATCAAAATGGCTTTAAGATGTGGAACTCTGAATTTACTAATGATGGTTCTCGTTAGGTTGTATGTTTTATGCAACATTTCGTATTAGAAATGAATTTTGAGGTTGATCTGAAGGGAATATTCAGTTCTTTTATCATTATTTCAATCCGATTAAAAGTTTATTAATACGACGAACGAAGCAATTAAAACTTTTGAGATTTTCTTAATTTAAATCGAAACGTTTGGGATTAGCATGCGGTGAGATCACAAGAAGTTCCGGATTTGATTGTCACTGTCACTCAATTTTGAATGGATAATTGCAAAGAACTGACTGCGCTATTGTGAAACTCAAGATAATGGCTGTTTTGGATGGATATCTTCTAAACAAGTTGCTACATTTTCTGTTTTGCAAGACATTTAAAACCGTTTATTCGGCACGACATTCAAACACTTCCGATCTAATACGATTTGGGTACTTTATGATTACTATAACCATTGTCTATAACTTAACTAACAAAATTAAAAAAGATATTGAAGTTTTCTTTAAAAATTATTTGCACTCACTTAAAAGAAATCTGACTTTTAACCCGCAGGGTTTTTGAATTTTTGTCAACGGCAGAAAAACATTCAACAACTCTGCTCCTAAGTAAATACTAAAACCATCACAAACAAATCTCAAAATATTGTTAATGAGTTTACTAATTTTTTTAGCTCAGTCAGACTGGACACTCAAATATCATTATTATATTATTTTTCCCATCATTAAAAAACCTTTCTGTTGAAAATTTGAAACATTTCTGACTAAAATTATAGAAATTATTAAGGAAAAAACATTTTTTATTTTTCACTTTGACACCCTGTATATTTTTTATTATGCGACTTGGGATATAGGTATGTTAGATTAAATCGACTTATTTTCACTCAAGGAATCTCTGGTATCATTTGTGCCCCTGCATTTAAATACGCCATGTATATTTAAGCTGTCTATAAAAAACAATAAATTTCCTGGATTGTGGAAAATCAAAATTTTATCAAATTTAAGAACAGGCCTGGCCTGCATTTATATGCTCATGTATATGTATTGCCTTTTCTAGCTTGTTGTGTTTTATTTTGAATTAATTTTTTAAACAATAGTTTACAATTACAAAAACAATTAATTTACGGGTAGTGCTGACAAAGTGCATCCTCAGCATCTCGTTAGAGTTCAAATTTGTCAATTGTTTCTACAGCGACAGCAAAATTCATTTTGTCTCCAGACGAAGTATACGAAAAAAAGAAAATTTCTAACACCCCTTGTATGGAGGGTAAAAAATCCTCACGCTGTATGACGAAAAAGGTTGTTCACGAATCACTTTTGGACGATGCCTTTACTTTTTTTTATTATTGCCATAGGTTACTAGACAGATAAAATTGCACGATAACAAGAACTATAAATAATAGACACTAGACTAAGCAAAAATTTTTACAATTTGAATATTTGGTAGGTATTTTGTTTCTTTTTGTAAATTGAGATAATATTTTAGGTTCTTATGGGAATGATATAAGGAAATTTTAAATCTTAAATATTTTCAATACATTTATTCACTTTTGACCTTATTTAAAGGCCATTAAATATATAAAAAATATGAAAAAAATAGCGATGCGAACTATATTGACATTATTCGACTCGAGTATCTCAAAATGAAATAAGTGGGAGAGATTTTGCATTTTCAATTTCTGGGACTATTTTTATTTAAATTCTTTTGCTTAAAGAATTGCTTTGAGAAGTAGTTTACTGCAGCTCAACCAATTCCAAAAAAATCACCCCTTCTTTGTTTCGAACCCCAGTGATGAGCTCTAAATGCTGATCACGATCCCTCAATCCTAGTAACCCCCTAGAACGGGTCAAATTTACCCCCAATATGATGGAAAATTCTATTTTATTCCATTTTAGCAGTTACAGGATTTTTTAAGGGTTGTATGATATAGTCACCCTCGAAAATAGGAAGTTAGCTTGTTGGAGTCTATAAAATCAGATCGGGGGTAGTTGTGACGCATTAAAGGAGGTTGCTGAAAGGGTCAAGGAGGATCTTGTTCATCATAGTCATGATCAGTACCTTTGAAAACTGGAGGAGGAGCATATAGGTTGTTTTTAGGGCGAGAACGAAAATTAAGGGTAGTTTTGGGCCGCTGAGAGGGTTGCGAGGCTTGGGAAGGGTCGTGATCATCATATTCGTGATCAGCACTCTCGAATGATCATTGCTGGGCCTCGAAATAAAAAAGGGGTGGTTTTTCCCAATTGCGGGAGATGTGTAGGGTTAAAAATTCAACGGACCTTAAATTCGGACTCAACACCCTCGAAAACAGAGACGGGAGTTGGTTTTGTAGCTGCACCAAAAACTTCACTGCCTCCGACTTCTTTCAGTACACTATATTCTATATTCTTCTGTATAATGTGTAGTACTGATTAAATTCTATTAGCAATGTATTAATCAATATGGTCATTAATACAATGTTTTTAATTTCATCAATTTCAATGATCCCATGTGAAAATTCAACGACCATCGGACATTAATATAATGTACAAAACACCAAGTAATTAACAACGGTGCAATGCGACGAAGCATCGGTTAAAAATAAATGACCAAACGGATTATTATAACGAGCTTATTATACTTAACTTACTTTTCGTTCTAAATACCAATAGTATAAAAAATTAGATCATATAGTTAAAAAGAAGTTTTTCATAACATTTTTTACAACATATAAACCGAATTAAATAGAAATCGAATCGTATTGGATTGTCCCCAAAAACGATCGGTGGAAATAATTAAAAAAAAAACACTTATCTTCTATCTCTCAAAGGTTAGGATGTGTGTAAAGTGACTTTTCAGTTATTTTCGAATCACAATCAATCACCAATTATCACAACTCATCCGAAATCATCCCCGACCGCCATCTGACGCGATAACCTGCCATTAACTCTAACCTTACCTTGATTGTAGTTCCCAAGCTGCGCCTGAAGGATGTTCACACCGGGCACAACGATAGCAGGCAACGTTCGTGACCGCAACAGCGGTGGTGGCTTCCTGCTAGTCCTTCCCGTGCCTTCCAATCCTACACAGGACGATCTCTGGTCTATCCTGCTAGCCGCCGCCAGCTGTGCACTGAAATAAGACGAGATGTCAGAAGAAATTTTATACAATATGTTTGTGAACTTAGACATGAAGAACAGGTCTTAATAAAAGAAACCAACTGCTAGTACCTCAACAAATGTGGTCAAGGGATGGCATATTTTTTTAAAATCCACTTTGTTGTTCCAGTGTTGCAGTTCTTTTATTAATACCACGAAATAATATGTATGTTTTGTGTATATTAGTGCATTGGCAACAAAACCAGTATAGTATCCGAAGATTTATACAATTGCGAGAAAAATGGTTTGGTGCAAACAATAGAAAAACACCGACTAATGTTGGTTGATATTTTTTGTATTAACAAAATTCAGTTGTTTCTTAGCTATCATCTTTGCGCACCTACTTTGAGAGAGAAGATTTGTAACTTGTCGCAAATAACTTGCATATTACAAACAAGTAAAAAATAAACATGTATACTTCTGATAAATAACATCACTGACTATAGTAGGATCGTATTCGATGCAAACATTTCAAATTTAAAATGAAATTGAAAGTAAAATCTGCAATACCGCTTCATACGCACTATTTCTGGTAGTAGCTGTAGTCGCCCAGGTGCATCGAGTGTACGAAGTGGTCGATTATACGTCAAATACTAACCTGGCGTGTTTGGTCGTAAATCAGAGACCGCCTCCAAAAGACAAGTGAACAGTGGCGCGTACAGAAGTAAAATGTAGTGCATATATGAAATTTAGAAAAACAAATTGGATTTATAATAAATTACATTTAAAATAAACAGCTTATGAGAATAAAGGGATTTTTGTAGAAACAGGGGTGCCAGACGTGAACAGATCCCTTCATCCCTTCATAATATATAAAGAAATTATTCAATTTCTAAACCCTTTAAAACCGTACTACACTGGATCCCTTGACAGGCAATGACTTATAACTTTGCATCGAATATGATCCTACTATAGTAATGTATTTTATTTCATTTTAAATTTCTCTTCCAGTTATGTCATTAAACTACTTGTTACTATTATGCGGATAATTGCGGTTGGTAAATAATGCTACTAAAACTTGTACAGATGTACAATTTCTGACAAGTGAAGTAACCCTTTACTCGTGTATTTGCATCACGAACAAAGACGAAGGGTTCCGAAGAAAAATTTTCGGCATCATAGACCATTGTGTTGTCAAAAGAATAAAAACTTTTGCCTAATATAATGTCTTTAAAATATTTCTTTAAGATAACATAATATTTAAAATGTTTAAGTTTTTGTTTGTTTGTCCCTCGAAACACTTAACTGAGTTAATAATAAACAAAAAGAAACACAACAATGGGAATTAACTAGATAGTGTATTTATGCAAGCAAATAATTTTCAGACAAGATTATTTGGCAATTTATAAAATTGTAGTATATAAGAATTTCTTATTTTTCTGTTTAGATTATCACTAAATTATTTTTATTTGTTATTTGTTATTATTTACTCTTTAGAAATATTCTGTTGAACAAATACAAATTTATTTATTTATTAATTTCTTTCATTTAGTATGTCCAGGAACCAACAAAGCAAATTGGTGTTGTTGGTTGTATATCTGTGGGTACTAAAATAAATTTGAATTGTGGTCCTAAGTAAACATTAGAACAATATCTTTATTATAATGTAATAGTAGGTCAAAATGTATAAGTAGAATTCGGGAGGTCTCTGTTCAAATCAGTTTATACTTCTAATCTATGGTTCAGTTTTAAATAATTAGATATTATCAGGCTGACAACATGGTGTTATTGGTTCAACGAAGGTAGTAAGAACTTATTATATATTTTAGTTTTAAGCGTATTTAATTAAACCTGCTTTGGCTTTGTCTCCATTCACCAAGTTTTCAAGACAAGTCACAGATAAAAAAATATTTGAAACAGTTTTTTTTTTGGTCAATGACTCGCCAAGATATTGATGCAGAAGGATAACATTGATATTTACGTTTTAACAAATATAAAAGAGTATGTACTGCACTATTCTAGAGAGGTTAGTACAAATGTTATCGAATAAACTGAGGCAAAATTAATACACAATATTTGTATTTAAACTGTGGGTTTTTTATGCATTTCCAGTAAATGAATTACGAAAGGCTGCTATTCTGATAATTAAAAATGTTGTTTGGAGATGCTAAATTTGAATTGCGCGGATGCAAGTGCGTTTGCCAACTGGACAATTTTTGGAACTAATCTATATCCAGATATTTATAAAAATAGTGTAACATATTATCTCTAGAAAAATGCCGTGCGTGCTTTATATTTAGCACTCTATTTTCACCATCACGTGCGCGAAGGTACCTATAACAAACGCTCATGAAATTAAATTTGCAATTTAGTAAATTTATTGTTTTGTTTAATGTGTTGTTTTACATGTACGTGTGGTTGCAGGGATAGGAGAGGTATGGGTATGCAGCTGCAAGCGTTTAATTTTATGCTGAACAGTGTTCTGTTTCTGTTTTGAACCGCTTTCGTAGATTATAATGTTATTATCTCCATGACATCGCTGATACTTCATTGTTTGTTGATTTTATATAGCTTCGCCCTAACCCATGATAGAGAGCAGCAGTTGAACTCGTTTAGTTTGCAGCAAATTGTCACGGTTAAGGCCGTTTGCACCCATAAAATGTATTGAAAATTGTATTGTACCGTTTGATAAACTACTGGTAAGTAAGTCAAGTTTGAACTTCGCTTTGCCACTGTTTAACCTTACGTTTGTAACACTACGTTGCTTTGTTTTTATATCTTACTTAAATGAAATAATTTAAAATTGATTTTGGGGATTTATTTCTATTTTTTTTTTCGAATCCGAATCAATGCAATTTGTTTAGACCATAAATAACTTTATCATTTATAATGATAAAACTGGATCGTAAAAAGGATATTTCTTTGCTTTTGAGTACCTACATTCTATTTGGAATTTTCCATGCTGAAATCTTTCTCACCATGTTTCATAAAACTTTTTCAAAGCATAACACCTCTATACGATGGCGTATAAGGTTATATTTCAGTTTGGTTTTATAATCGCATTCATAGCACTGCAGTTCAGAAGTGTCTTTATGTATCAACTCGTGACGTGACGTAGGAGGTTGCTCCTGCGGTTAGATTTGTATTCACATAAATCACATCAAGTTTTTATCTACTGACTGCTTTGGCACATCTAAAAGGTCCTCAGGTTTTGGTTGTTGAGATTTTGGACCATCTTTGTCCATAGATGGGCTGTAAACGGGCTCATTTTCATTATACAGGAGAGTTTCACTGGAAAAATTGTAAATCATTCAAATCTGATTAAAATTTGAGAGTAAAATTATTTGTATAATGGTATGTGACCTATTATATTATTTGGTTTTCCATCCTGTAAGTGTTTTAATTAATAAAAATAGAGATATTACGTCAATTTAATTTTTTTGTTTTATAAACTCTCAATTACTCCTCTACCACCTCTATACAAGTTCAGAAGAAAAAATGTCGTTGAATTCGGTTTTCACTTTTTCCTTGACTTTATTTTTCTCTNGCCGAATGTTCCATAAGATAAGCAAAAATAGCAAAGGGTTGTTCGTCTGTTATGTTTCCGAGATCGAAAGGGAATGTTTCGAGTAATGTTTCAAACTCTCTTCAATTGTAACGTTTCGGCTATGTTTCACTAAATAAGTTTTCAAGTGCTACATTTCTGTAATGCAACAGAAACGTTTCTAGTTAATGTTTTAAATGTTCAGTAAAACATCTCATTTGCAACGTTTCATTTACGTTTCGTGTTTAGTGGGCTGACTGCTTTGGTACATCTAAAAGGTCCTCAGGTTTTGGTTGTTGAGATTTTGGACCATCTTTGTCCATAGATTGGCTGTCAACGGGCTCATTTTCATTATACAGGAGAGTTTCACTGGAAAAATTGTAAATCATTCAAAACTGATTAAAATTTGAGAGTAAAATTATATGTATCATGGTATGTGACCTATTATATTATTTGGTTTTCCATCCTGTAAGTGTTTTAATTAATTAAAAGTTATACATAGAGATATTACGTCAATTTAATTTTTTTGTTTTTTAAATTCTCAATTACTCCTCTACCACCTCAATACAAGTTCAGAAGAAAAAATGTCGTTGAATTCGGTTTTCACTTTTTCCTTGACTTTGTTTTTCTCTTGTATGGAAATATCTGTTTTAATTTAGACGCTATCTTTTCTTGTTATCTAAAGAATAACGGCTTCATTTGTAAATACAGTCATTAGACATATTTCTGAGACTAATTCGATTTTAATTTTGAAAATTTGGGCAATAGTGTTTTCGAGCATCCCCTTTCTCTACTAAAATAATGGCGTCTACCTAACGCTTCCGGTTATACCGGAAGTGGACGTCATCTTCGTTATTTTAAATGCAACACCTTACCTTGTATATTATTGTAATTTGGAAAAAATTGACAAGGCACTGCCTAATTAAAAAAGATGTGTATTTTACAATAATAAAGTTGGAGTTATAAAATTTATAAGGGAAATAACTAAAACTCTAAGCTTCCCTCCTATTATTTCAAAATGCCTTAATATCATACTTTTTGAATTAGGCAGTGCCTTTTTAATTTTTTTCTGAATAAAATTAAATATATCAAAAACGGTTAACTTTTAGAATAGGAAACCTTTATTAAACCTAAAAATTCACGTAGAATCCAAAATTGCAATAATATACAGGGTGTTCCATTTAAAATAACGAATATGACGTCAACTTCCGATATAACAGGAAGCGTTAGGTAGACGCCATTATTTTAGTTGAGAAGGGCATGCCCGCAAACGCTATTGCCCTAATTTTCAAAATTAAAATTGAAGTAGCTCCGAAATATGTCTAATGTCTCGTCACCGTGGGATATTATTGTCTTCGAATATTTTATCGACATCTAACTGACCACCAGAACGGCATGTTTTACGTTTATACTACAGGTCGTTTTTTCACCATAAGCAGTCTAAATTTTATACATAGGCAAATGCGGGCTATCGAATAGGTATATCTCACATGAGTCGCCTATTTCTAGACAAATCCTTTTTAATTCCATGTTATATTTTCAGGGGCATGCTCCTTGGATCATTTTAGACTGAAAGGTCTTAGTAGTAGATAGGTTATGTGAGTTCAAGATAAAAATCCCATGCTTTTTCTTGGTCATCCTGGTCATTTTTTCCCCTTCCCCGCCCAGCCAATCAGAGCGCAGCATTTGGCGGGAAAAATGGCGGGAAATTCAAAATGTATCCACCTAGGGCTTTGAAACAAACAGCTAACAACCGGCTAACAACAGCTAATAACCGGCTACCAACTGGCTACCGCTGCTAACCGGCTGGGTTATTTAAAGAGGAACCTTGACGTGATGCGACGATAAGTTTTCCATGTGAAAGGGTCATCTAGTTCTCAATCGGCGTTTACAGTTGGTGCATAGGGGTCTAAAGCCACTGGTTTCCGAGAAACAAGGTGTTGAAATAAAAAAAATAAATAAATATTTTTAAATATGAAGCCATCTTTCATTTTATATGAAAAAATGAGTTATTTTCGGGTTATTTTTTTTAAATAAGCATACACTCATAATTTTGGAAAGGCGTAGATTTTGCTAAACAAACGTCAACAAAAGTTTATACCAATTTAGCAATATTTCAGTGAATAATTAGTATGTGATATAAGTTTCTAAATATTTAAACAATAATATCGAATTTTATACCATGATAGGTCAGTTTGGGCAAATATTACTAGATGTATGTTATGTTTAACTAGTCAATTTTAGATAATAATCAAATTTTTCTCATATATGGTTGTAACAATTTTAGATTCTAATAAACGTGTTTTAGCTTAATGTGTGTTTATTTGAGATATATTCTACTGTAACTTTTAAACACGATTTCTTGTATACAATTTTGACTGACAGAATTTTCTTTTTTCAGGATTACGAAAACATGGAAAGTAAGAACTCATTAAATTCTTAGGTATTAGGTATTAGTATCATGGAAAAAATAACAGTTTATGTACACTAATGCAAACAGGTAAAGGGCCAAAGGAATTTCCGAAATTTTTCCGCGATAAAAAAATTTTCTCTTCTGAGTCCATGGAAAATTTTTTTCAGCTAAGCCATTGCATGGACCAGATAGCTTGTTTATTCAGCTTCAATCTACTTTTTTTAAATTTCGATACGACCATTTTTCATCGAAATATCGGACTTTTAATGGAAAAGGATTCTTTTGTCTTCAATCATCGATATCTCAGCGACAAATGGTCGTACAGAGAATTGAAGGGCAGTTGCAAAAACTAGAATAAACCTTCTATAACATGCTGCCGAAACTTTTCGGAAAAAATTTTTTTTCATCTTTTATACGAATTTAAAAAAAAAACAGGAAAAAAGGGTAATTTATGGTTTTCTAGAAAATTGAGGGCTAAATTAGAAATATTCACGAAATAACTAATGTTAAGCATGACTTTTATAGTTCGATATACCCAGAAGAACCCTGTGAAGTTTCATCTCGATCTAGAGAACCGTTTCTTCGTTTTAAACAGTCAAAATTTTGAAACAAATTAAAAGGTCACTATTTTTGAGCTTAAGCACCTCATAATCATGATTAATATGAAAAAAAATATTTTTCTTTGAGGTTTCCTCACATTTTTATCACAAATCACGGAAAAATTTTCGGAAATTCTTTTGACTCTTTAATTGTTTGCATTAGTTTATATACTTACATTAATACTGTGCACATGCCAGAGAAATATAATTTATTTTCAGTTGTTTCTTTTGTTTCAGTTTTGAAGAAGTTTAGAAGTTGTAAGTATTTTTTTAATTCCTTCTAGTATTAAAATACCAAAACATTTTTTAGTAATCCATATGTAACTATATTTACAGGGCTATCTTTCAAAAAAGGAGTTTCACCAGAAACCAACACATACCAAGAAAATAAAGAAAGGAACACTAATAGAAAGAAACGCAGTGTCAAACGCAACGCTGAACCAGTTTCAGAAGAAGAAAGCGTAAGAAGAAAGTGTTACAAAAAGGAAACGACAACGAAATCATTAAACAAAGCACAGTTAGAAAACAAGAATTTTGAGAGCCATACTATTTCAACAAGCGAAACCCTCGAATCTAATTTAGAAGCTAAGGATCCTGCAAGAATTATTATACCATCAAAACAGAACCATGTGGAAGAGGAAGGCGAAGACAACGAAATCCTAAACGACTACGAAATTAAAACCATTGGAAGCATCCAGGAGATCCGAGGAAAATGCGAAAAATTCGATCAGGAAATTGAATCCTTCCCAGATATTATGGGGAGCAAACAGTTTCTGATGGTGGATGAAAACCTTCAAAGTCACATAGAAACACTAGATAGGATCGATGCTAAAGACAGCACGATAATAAGAAAAGAAAGAAAGAGCGCAGTTAGGTATATATGTTTGCTTATAGACAGATTGGAAATAATTGCTAAAAAGAATCATGAACAGTTGGTAAAACCAAACCAAATGGCACTAGCTCCAATTTCAAGAGAGCAATTTCTAGAGGGTAAAAAAGAAGAATAACTGTTTGTATTAATGTGATAAAACCATTATTATATGTTTCTAGTCTTGCCAATTTTCATTGTTTTAATTGTTATTAATCATATCTAAGTTAATGTTAAAAATTCTTCGCGTTGCTGTTATGATTGTCTAATAGTTTTATTTTGGTAACAAATAAAGGTTATTTAATGATTCATCGGTTTCGTTGTTGATTAATCTTTGTCAAGGGTGTTAATAGGACAGTAGGAATACATCTTTATATGATTGCATTAATTATTAATTATAATCTATGAGGTAGGTGTGTCTTTTTGTATTAATTATATTTAGAGATGTCATTTTTAGTTTTTATTTTGGATATTTATTTATCATAAGTTTACTAAGTATTGTCATTGTATAATTCAATACTAGTTGAGGCATGGAGTAGTAGTTTCCCATAATATCAGCAGTTAGGAAAGTTGTCTGCAGGGTTAGATATATTTTGCATACATTGCTTGATTTCATTGTTTGAATTAACTTAATATCATTAAAATGAAGTAAAACGAGGCGAGAGTTAATAATAAAATGTATATTTTCAACATAAAAATTTATATAAATATATATTGATTTTGATTAACTGTTTTTCTGGTATTAGTTAGGCAATTCTCAATACAAGAACAAGCCTGTTAGCATTTGATTGGATAAAAGCTCCAAATTTGATTATTACAAAGCACATTTTACTTAAAAGAAAAATCAACAAAACGGAATTGTCAGTTGTCAAAAAATACCACTAGGTATACTAACATTGATAATCCAATAAAAATTTTATTTAAAAAAAAATCCAAACAGGATGATTTTTTCAGGGTTGCCTGGGGACTGCCTTCTGAGTATCCAATCAAAAGATCACACTCGAACTCTTGGTACGACTTGAGCTATGGGGGTGGTTTTCTAAATGTTTTTTTAGAGCAAAATGACCTTAATAAAAGTTGTAGAGGTTCAAATTCTGAATAACTTTTGTTTAGAACCTCTTGGTTGGATACTCAGGAGGCAGTCTCCAAGCAACCCTGAAAAAATCATCCTGTTTTGATTTTTTTGCGGCCCCTATAAGCCGAACACAATTTTTTTGGATTATGAAGGCAAACAAGAACAAAATGAAAGAGCATGTGTATTATGTTATTCTTATTACCTGTTTCAATCCTAGTTAATATATTATTTTTATATTTTATTTTCATAACATTGTTACGAAAACATTATAGGTATTAATCTATTAATTATATTTTATTACACCATTATTTTACAACAATAATTATTATTTGAGATATTAACTATTTTTTAATTACTTATTGATACAGGATAACACAAAGATTAAGCACGACTAATTAAGAAATTTCAAAAATCATCGGTTGATGTTTTACACAGTTGTTACTACTTAAAAGAATAAATAATAAATTAACAACTACAATAAGGTAAACAGTAGTATATATATTAAAAAAAAAGTTTGAAATATTAATTCTAAACCAAACGTAAATTCTGGAAAGATAAACAGTAAGTTACATTCTGACATAAAAGAGTGCATTTTGTTAATTAGTTGATTAGTAATAAAATGTTTCTAAAAACTTCGCGTTTCTAAATTGAACGGGGAATTAAACCCTTGTTCTAGAAAAGACCAGTGACGTATCAAAAGAAAGTTTGGGGGCCCAAAGGAGGCCTGACCCCAGAAAAGTATCTATAACTATTAGGAAGGGCTAATGATGCAGGTAATCTAAGTTAGCCTACGTTCCAAGTTTGAGCTACATATCTCAAAATCTGTGGGAGATACAAAGAAAAAACAGAAAAAATATTAAAACTTTAACACCCTGTACCATGGTAACGAAGCTTTTACGGTCATATGTTTGTGATCACGCGTAGATTCACCCCTCCCCCCCTCCTGAATAAAGACATGCTATTATGAAACATGCTGTATATTATTTTCTGCGCTGAAACCTGTGACATAACACAAACAATTTGATCCAAACGTCACTTCAACACCTGTCACTAAAAAAATTACCTGTCAACCCCAAAAAATGTCAAAAAGAAATCTCCCTCCTCAAGAATCCTCACAATTCCTCCTAAGCGAACTGAACGACAGCAATTCATCCTTCGAAAAAGACGAGGATGGGTCATCAAAGACGTCCATGAATCCCAGCGGCAGCGGAGAAAAGATGACAAAAGCAGCTGAAGAAACAGAAACAGAATACGAGCAGATAGCAACTGAGAAGATCATGTCCATCAAAGCGGAAGTTGAGAAGATTCAGCAACAGATCGCGGATTATAGCAAGGAACAACTACAGGAGGAATTCAAGATATTGGAAGAAATGTTGATACAGCAAACGCTGACACTGGATAATATTGATACTAGAGCCTTAGATTCTGTGAGGGAGTTGAGAAAAAATACCATACGTTTCGTTCAGGACTGCATGAAGCAGATGGACGTTAAATTGAAGTAACTCTAGGCTAACCTTCTGTTAAAAATTTGCTAATAATTTAAAATATTCCTAATAATAATATTCCATAAATATAAAACGTCTGCTAAGTACACTGTAAGTATTATTTAATGTATATTTTTTCTACTGAGAAATGATATATGTTTTCCAAAATTATTTTATCCTTATTGAAAAAAAAATAGTTATTTTTATATTTTATACGAGGCATGTCCACAAAGTAAGAGTACTCAATTTTATTTTAAAATCCAAACGGCGGTATATTTATGAAAAATTTACATATTCAGACACTATTTTTTGACGTAGTCGCCAGCAACCTCAATGCACCTTATGAACCGAGGGATGAACTTCTTCAAAAAATGACCAGTGTCCCACTTACCCGCTTAGGTCGTTATAGGTGGGTGTTTCATGGACTGTATGACATAGCCGCCTCTCGGGCCCATTGTTTCATCGTCGGTAGAAAACCTTTTTCCATCCATAAGCACCTTCAGAGAAGAGAAAAGATGAAAATCAAAAGGTGACAAGTCAGGGCTGTAAGCATGGTGGTTCCAAGTTGTTTTGCGACGTTGGCTGTGTGAGCACCTGCATTGTCCTGCAGCAAGCACACTCCTCACATTCCCCTTTTTTGTTGTGTATCACCCTCAGTACCGCGCGGCATTAATTATTCCCTCCTAGGGCAAAAAGTCAATGATGTGAATCCCTTTACGGTCCCAAAACAGTTGCCAGGTTTTTACGACTTTGTTCACCTCGGAACAACGGCACTCATTTCAATACGCCACTACAACAACACTTCTCAACTGACTGAGATAAATCAGCGCGCGTTGGGCTCCCAACTTTTTGGCCTTAAATGCAGTGTTGTCAACTTTATCGAAAACAAAATCTCAATACTCTTACTTTGTCGATATGTTTCGTATAATTTTTTTTTATTACAACAAACACTGATGCCAAGAAAATGTAAAACCTTTTAAATTCAGAGTACGAATCATAAATAAACTAGAAGATTATATAATTATTATAAACACGCTGATACAAAAGAGGAATAAGCGTCACGCCGCCAATGTCTTTCTACCTCGGGTATCGAATGCGGTTAATTCCAAGAGTGTGACTCAGGGGTCTTCCTGGAATCTCAACAAATATCGTGTGGATTGTAACTAATGCAAATTATATACGTACCTATTATTGTTTTATTAAACTTTTAGCAGGATTTATTGTGTCTATATCTCTAAAACCAAAAAAATATATTTAATGTTTGTAAGAAGCGTTGTTTATTTCTATAAATGGCTTCAAATCTATGCGCAAATGAAATTTCTTATGATTCTTATTTTCATTTTCATAAATCATAATAAATCATTATTACTATATTATGTATACAGGGTGCTAGTAAATAAGTGCGACAAATTTCAGGGGGTGATTCTACATGAGAAAATAATGGCAGTTTGCTTATAAACGTATGTCCGCAAATGATTCGTTTTCCGAGATACAGGGTGTCAAAGTTTTTCTTAAAAACTGACGATTTAATTTATTGCTCTGAAACCGGTCGAGATGTGCAAATGAAATTTGGTGGGTTTTAAGAGGTAGTTATTGCGCATTTTTTGACACGCAATTAAGAATTTTATGTTCATCATTGGCGCGCGTACGGGTAATAATCTCAATTTTTTTAAAG